CATTTGTCGGCATCGCGAAGACATTTGCCACCTAGGGTGGCGTAGAGTTGACGCTTCCACCTGGTAGCGGATTCTTCGGAGGAGTCGATGGTTTCGTTGTGGACTTTGATGGGCATGTTGGATATTCAGAGAAAGGGGATAAAGTGTTCCGAAGCTGCGGCCCATCTAACACACGGTGTTTCTAACGAAAGCATCTTTTCGGCCCTTTTACTTTTGTTTAGTGGAATCATTGATGAAAAGTGTGGAATTCCAAGACCGCCATCTTTGATTGATATGTGGAAGTAGGCCACTTGGGTGTCTTTAGGAAGATGCACCCTTCGACGAATGGCGGCGCGTATCATTCGATCCGAGGACTGTAGCGTCTTCTTATGGACAACACCAAGAGTAAGACTATACTGCAGCCTGGGAATGATAGCTTGCCTCACCATTGGATTCGCTGTTGAGGCTTTAGAGGTGCGGCCGAGACGTTGTCGATAAAACCATGAAGAATTTCAGAATACTTCATGAGCAATCTGCCCTCAAAGTTATGAGGAATTCCCAGGTAGTTAAAGCTGTCAGAAACTCTGATGCTTGGGATCGATGTTGAGTTTATTTTGAAAATTTTTGGCGAGAGCGCTACAATTTTGGATTTTCCACTCGCTAGCAGGTTGATGGTTCTGCTTTTGGAGGGATTGATAGTGATACCCGCAAGGTTGAGGTGCTCAGAGAGAATATCTAATTTTGACTGTAGGGCAGCTGAGTCGGGTGCTGTCAATATCAAATCGTCTGCGTAGGCTATATAGTTGATTTTATGTTCACCTAAGCAGAACGGTGGTGATTTCTGATCGATTGATGTTAGAGCTTCATCAAGTGCCATGATGAATAGCAGTGGGGATAGTGGGTTACCTTGCTTGACAGAACTCTGCGGAGCGCAGGAGACGTTGATAAAATTGAAGTGGACTCTGCGTAGAATGAAGACAGGAATCTGCATAGAATATCTGGAGATCCAAACTTCTTGGGCGCCCGAAGGATTCTATCATCTGAAATACTGTCGAATGCTTGAGAGACGTTGTCAGCCACGTCCCGTAAACCGTTAATGCCCAGCTCTTGCTGCGCTCGAGCTCACGCTGTCGCTTGAAGTTTCTCAGAAACGCTAAGTAATAACGGACGAAAAACCAAAACACCAATTGGCGATTCGAGGATTCTTTATTGTTACACCAACATATAAAATATATTTCTACTAAGGTCTGTGAACAAATATTACAATAAATCACAACATTACTTCTGACGGTTCATTGCTGACTTCTTTCTGAACAGCGACCGATGAGACGATGACTGTCGTATTGATGCGTCCGCGAAAATTGGGGAAGTTGGTTTTGAGCAAACAACCATGAATTGATCGTTCAATCTTCAACTACATTGACATTGGTTTTGAGCAAACAACCATGAATTGATCGTTCAATCTTCCACTGCACTGACACTCCCCGGATCCACACCCTTTTTTCCATCACGACCAATACACGTTGACTTGGATGCCATTGCGGGAACCTGGGTCACTCGGACAGAGCTGAAATGGAAAACAAACAGAAACGCCAACACACCACAAGCATACTCACAGCACAATCTCACACATCAATGACGACCTGTGCCTTCCAGTTAAAGGCATCCTCTTGCAACACAATCGCCACTTGCTAGAATGACTCTTGCAGAATGCAACGTGACCATAGCACCACCTCACGATACTCCATGCACGTCCTCGTATCTACTCACTACCAATTACCACTGCAATCGCTTGTCACTCATCCTGCCTCAGTTCTAGTAACGGCGACGTATTCGAGCCTCACTCGTTTACACTCTTTCTCCCCGGCGTGTGGGAACGCAGCTAACAATTATCTCCGTATGCATTTCATTCTCAGCAATAGCCTAGCCTCCCCGGCGTATACGACCCATCTGCTGTCTCTAACATCAATCAATTCATTCACGGATGTAGAAGAGTGGACACAACTTCAGAAGTAATCACGACGAAAATTTTAACAAAGTTGTGCAATAACAACAAGGTACGAAAACAACGAGTAAACACAATGAATCCAAAAACACCAATTGATAGGACACACCACACATATATACAAACAGTACAAATAACCTCGCGGATCATGTCTTGATGGAATTCCTTTGAAGAATCGCAGTACTTACACCAGTACGCCTACAAACCTTCTCAGGTTTACGATTGTAAGTTGTGGAATGTCCGGACACAAACAGAATTACCAACAGCTAGATGACAGATGATACCAATTCAGTATATACAATAAGAACATATGTACAAAATCACACATCAAGCACATTGGACTACTCGTTGATGCGCTACCTTTTGAAGAATTGTAGGACTGACAGCAGTACGCCTACAACCCTTCTCAGGTTGACGCTCTAGGCTGGAAAATCGTCGCAGAGTTCATTTGCTGAATTCCTTGTATCATCTATATCCTCAAATCTGAACGGCAACACGCTCATATCATTGAATCGTAAAATATAGATGAAGAGCAAACACACGAGGTATCTGGTCAACCAAGCATAGGCACAGAGTAATTTACCCCAAAGATAATAACATTCAAATAGTAACTTGAAACTAGAGATGCCTTTATTCGTGCAAGTCAATTTAACAGTTACTCTCTCGTTTACACTTGGCTTATCCTCTCTAAACTGAGCAATATCTTTCGTCCTTTCAAACGCACCAATACTATCATAGTCATTGCAGAAGATACTTGAGTTGATAGGCGTCTGTTTCATTGTGGATGACAACACCAACGACGACTGATTGATACCAGTTGATGAAGTTAGCGGTGGATCAAAAGCTGTTGTTGCTCGGCTTTCAGAAATTTGTCTACCTGCAAGACCACCACCACTGCTGTCTTTTACTATCAGCTCAGCTTTAGCAATAGCATCTGATGATAGGTGGGCTACATGCTGATCACTTACACTGACGGTCTCACAAGTATGCATGCCTTCTGCAACTGCACCTGCATTTATTTCTACCTCACGTTGTAGTTGTACAGAACCTTTAATTAACTTAGCAGTTGTGGGCATATCCCTCATCTCATCATGATCAAACGAAGGAAACTGTGAAGTATCATGATCATTATGCCGAATATTCAATTTATCATCATTTATCTGGTCGACTTCATCAATTTCAAACTCTTTAATATCAGAAGTAGACAATTTTGGTTCCTCCTCGCAAATCCCCAAAGATTTTATACCTTCACTCTGACTAGTAATACCTTGTAAACTTGTGGAGTGAGAACTGTCCTCTGAGACTGTAACTCTCTTCTGTGGCAGACTATTCAACAATTGCTTACCAGTTGCAACTGCAGACTTCTTCACCGCACCGTTATCGTCACACATTTCGGAGTCAGAACTTGATTTCACATTTAGCTTATCCCTGAACTTGCTAACTGATTCACAGTTCACCTTTGTATGCACTTCTTGCAAACGTGTAAAACACAACCGTGTTTGTCTTGCATCTTGTAACTTATCTGTTGAGGATGTACTACGAAACCTGTTACACTCTCTAGGTCTATATGCATTAGTAGACATCATAGAGCCTTCTCGATAGCCATCTCTCTGAAACCCTTTCAACATCAATGATTGCTTTTTGCTCTCAGACTGCTCTTTTCTTACTTTCCTTTTTGCATCCAAGACACTCTGTCCCTTCTTTGACCCAGGGATTGTTGAACTTGAAGAAAAATCCAAAACACCGATTGGCCGCTTGAGAATTCTTTATTGTTACACCAACATATAAAATATATTTCTACTAAGGTCTGTGAACAAATATTACAATAATGAATCACAATATTACTTCTGACGGTTTACTACTGACTTCTTTCTGAACAGCGACCGATGAGACGATGACTGTCGTATTGATGCGTCTGCAAAAATTGGGGAAATTGGTTTTGAGCAAACAACCGTGAATTGATCGTTCAATCTTCAACTGCATTGTCAGACGTCCAGGATGGCCATGGCACATTCTTTGTGTCTTGTTTGGGATTCTCAAAATATTTCATGCAGGAGATTCACAGCTCTGAATCAGCTGTCTTTGTGTAGAAACGCGAATTGATTTTTTCCACTTAGGAATATCTGCAGCCATCTGTTGGCCAGAATTTTTTGAAAGCATCTGGTAATGGATGGAGTGATGGAAATTGGCCGGAAATCTGATGGTGAGTCCGGCAAGTCAATTTTAAGGATGAATGTTACCCCGGCCGTGGCCAGGTTCTTCGATGAATGTGATGTTAGCAGTAAGGTGTTGAGACATCCTGTGTAAATTATCGAATTGATGATGCCTGTAAACTGGCGTCCCTCATGTAAAAAATGAGAATATATATTATTATTATTATTAATAGCATCAGGCATGCTTTTTAATAAATCAGCAGCGTATAGACGATCTACTCCGCAGGCGGAGTTTTTCATTTCCTGGAGAGCCCAGGTAATGTCACTGGGCAGAATTGGAGCGACTAGTGATTCGCTTTCTGGAACTATTGGGTTAATCTCTCTAGAATCAGGTGATGATGACTTCTGGGAGACATTCGACCAATAAGAATTGAAGCCGGGGATGGAGCATGGATTGATGGCATGCGGCTGTTTCCATCTACTATCAAGTACTGTAGCAGCAGCATCTTTGGGGCATTTGAGAAAAGCGATTGGATGTGCGCGTAAAGAATTTTTCGTCGTTGTTTCCTATTCATTTTATCAAAGTTCTCTGTATGGTATCGTGCCTTAGAAGACAGCCATTTATTGGGAAGTACTTCGTTGGCATGCTGTTCAAGGAACTGGCTAAGAGGTTCCAGAGAGATATCTCCAAGGGCATATTCCTGAATTTTCGCAAGGACATTCGATGGTTGAATTAGCGTACAGTCATGGCTCAATTGTTCGACAATTTTGTTAAGGAAATTCGATTCCACACTATCGAAGATTGGAGCTTGTGTTGGGAGAATGAGATCGAGGTTGGGTGCAGACAGAGCAGGAATAGAAGGTCAAACGATGACTAGTAAGACAGGAGGAAATATGGTGGGAGTAATTGATGTGATAGGAAAGTTTAATTGAAGTGGGCTGAGAGAAGATACTGATTCAACCGAAAAGATTTCATTGGATATACATGCAAAATTTACGGTTTGTTCAGAGTCAGATGGTAAGACATCGTCATCGTTGTCATGGATAATAGTAGGATCAGAAGAGTTGGAAGAGATGATAGACGCATCATTAGAGAATATTGATAGGTCTTGGAAAAGTAAAGCTGGGGCACGAGGATGGTTAGAAGATGGGGAAGTTGAAGGCGTCCCCGAATCAGAAAACGAATTCGATGTGCCACCAAAATTTGTGGAGGACATTTCATTCATTGAAAGATGGGGTGAAGATGAGGGATGTTGGTTTGGGAGCAGCTCTGTAGCCCTGTTGCTGATATTGACAGACGAGGAGTTTACGAGGGAGGGATCTAGGATGATATCTGGGAGATGTGCTTCATACGATCGCGACCATCCAGGTGTTGTCAGTCGTCTACTCAGGGCGTCCCTTGAGCGATTTGGGAGGACTGCGTTCAATGCTGTATAAAATTGAAGGGGAGGTAGCAATTGAGAGTCCAGATAAGAGGCTGTGAGGGTGAGTAGGGCGTCTTCTTGAGGCAGCCAGTATCTCGTATTTGGTCTGATACGCGAATCTGGGGTGGTTGTGGTACTGAAACTCATAAAAGACTGTTGTGTTGATGAGGAGAGACATGAAGATGAGGATGAGGATGGAGGCATATCTTGCCATTCCAGGCTCTGCAAACGTTGTTTTATTGCCTCGGCAGATTGGTCGGGGAATACTCCACTGAGATAATCATAGAGAAGTATCTTAGATGGGAACCATTCAGCGTTGGCATCGGCGTGGTTGATCAGGGCCAATTCTTCTATGGTTGTCAAATTACGAAGACATCTATGTTCATAGATGATCCTTCCTAACAGAATTTCATTATATTCATCTGGGTGGACAAGTCGTAGGTGTTGTGTGAGCCCTATGGTGGTTGGAAATTCACGTGGAAAATACACACAGTTGAATCTTGATGTTCTGATGGAGTGTGTGGACCTTGAACAGAATGAAGTGATGGATACTGCAGTTGAATTGTTATATGGTCGATTGTCGGCGGACTGATTATTTGAGGTTGAAGGAAGAATTAGGGGATTAGATGAAGAATATAGTGGAGAAGAAGAAGTATTCGTTGGGTGGACGTTGTCAGCTTCTACCAATGCGTGGGCAGTGGTTGTTGAGTTGTTTGATGACATCACTGACTTGGCAGGAGAGTGCATATTATGCAGACTCGTGTATTAAGGGGCAACTAGTACCGAGGCCCTAGTTGTGTCACGTGCCGTTCATAGGCCCCTCAGGCGTGAATTTTGATCGATAGTTGAAAGGGAGTACAGATAGAGGACGCCACGTAAAGGGCTCTTGCCGTAGAGAGAGGATCGAATAAAGGAGTTTTACACAAAACAGACATAGAACTACAACCGAAATTTGTACAACAACGGCGATAGCGGCAGATGCGCCCTGGATAACTACTCCGTGGTAGTCGCCGGAGGGGGGACGAGTGCAATCAGAATCCCTGAAAAATCAAAAAGAAAGTGATAGACGAAAAAGTAAAATTGTCAAAAGTTTCAAGTAGACTTCAGCGAAATTCAGAGGGGTGTAAACTGTAATTCTGGGTAGTAAGAAAGAAAGTTACCCGACAGTTTAACAAAGAGACGAATATCGGCCAATCAGAAAGCGTTATTAGTAAATTGGCTTCAACGATTACTCAAAAGGCCGAAACTGAAATTTGGGTATCACCAATCTTCAGACAAAATTTCATTGGGACAGGTAGGCCAGACAAGTTTAATACTGAAATGTTCAGAATCGCCAGATGGTTCTCATGGAGAAAGAATTATGGCATCAAAAGTTTCACAGAAAAAGTACTATGCGATAAACCGGAATTTAAGGTTAGTTTTTCCCGGACAATGATATGAAAATTCTCATGGGGTGGACAAATACAGTTGAAAAGTACGCCAAAAGAATCGGCTCAACGAGTTGTGTAACCGTGGGCTAAAATAATAGGTTGGAATGGTCGATAGAAGAAATTGACAATGAAAATGTTAAAGCTCGGTTTAGCGCAAATCTGGGCTTTACAAATTTTAAAGTAAACATTTTATTAGGACAGGTAGACCAGACAAGTTTAATACTGAAATGTTCAGAATCGCCAGATGGTTCTCATGGAAAAAGAATTATGGTAAAAGGATTGAAACTGAGAAAATTATTAACGAAAAACCAAAAGTCAAACCTAATATATAGTAAAACTTGTTCAAATTTCAAAATTAGCAAATGATATGACCCATTGTATGAACAAAGCACTGGTAGTGTTAAACGTCACTATGAAATTAATCGGAATTTCAAGACTTACCAGATTTCTTGAGTAAATCTTAGATTTATAGAGGACTAGGTGTGTGAGTATATGGTCGCCACTAGTTCTAGGTTAATTAAGGTTTTTAGGGTCAGAGACGCTGGCAAATGCTAAATAGGAGTAAGAAGCATCAGACATTTATTGTTTGGATGGTGCAATCACTTTAAGAAGATAACTTTGAAAACTGGAGATGCCATGCAATGGCACAGATTCCGGAGATGGGATATGGGAGCTGAAGTGTTGAAATTTTTTGTAGAATATGGTATTCCAGAACGCTGAGGATCAGGGCAACTCTAAACATTAGGAACCCAAAAAGAAACGACCTACGAACGCACAAATGACCTTATCAAGGACCACTCGGAAGGCTGAAAAAACGACAATAGTCGTCTCAGGCAGCACTAAGCGCTAGATAATAGGCAATAATACGCATGCCCTGCGCTTAGGGGTCACCTCAATACGTCCATTCTGGAGGCTGGTGTCATACATCCCCAAAACCTACTGCTGGAAAAAACAGTCACCTGATCGGTTGCTCAAGGTGATTTGTGCGTTCGTAGGTCGTTTTGTTCTGTTTAAAGTTGGCAGGATCAGAATAAACTTCTTTCCAGGACCAGAGGACAGCTAGGAGAAAGAAAAAGTAATCCAAATTCCACGAGCAAAACGCAGCGCTCCAGCCGTTTACCCGCGCTTGATTGAATTTCTTCACTTTGACGTTCAGAGCACTGGGCAGAAATCACGTTGCGTCATAACCGGTCAGTGGACATCGCAATGCTTTGTTTTAATTAGACAGTTGGATTCCCCTGTTCCGTGCCAGTTCTGATTTAGCCGTCGTGCGCCAAACAATGGAAGCACAGCCGCTTGACGCAACGGAGAGCAAGGCCACGCGCGTTGCTGGCCATGCAACACTAACAGCTGAAACCACCCACGATCGATCGCGGTCAGAGTCCAGTGACTCCACAGCAATGCGCACCGAAGCACACAAAGCAGCAAAGAAACCAGCCTCTAACTGGACCGACACGTATCTGATCTCGGCCTGTCTCCAATATCCCATATCCTGATTACGAGCTAGTATAACCCAGTGATTTCTTTGAGCTCGCTTCTTGATTGTGAGGTAGAGGTTCCAGATCTTCGGTGAGCTTCTGCGTAGTAAGTCCCGCCACTCGACTGCTTTAGCTCTGGTAGACTCCAGGAGGAGTGGTGCGGGGATTGGTCGAGATGTGGTTTGTAGTATGCAGTATGTTAGGACTGTATTGCTGCCGTGAATGGAGTTTGACCTAACTCCCGTTGGTCATTCGGTGTAGTCATAAAAGCAGAATAGTAATAATAATAATAATAGGTTGTAGTGTAGATAATATAGGTTGAGATAAGTGGAATAATAAAGGTGACCTAAGGGAAAGATAGAGTGAGAGAAAGCAGAATAGGTCGTGGGGATTTAGTTTGTACGCTTATCCATTGACAGTGTGGTTTCAAGTTTTATGAGGATAAGCCATTGAGACACAAACCTTGCATTTCTGCATGATTGTCTAGCTTCCGCTTAAAAATCTCCAGAGATGGCGCTGTAGTCACGGCCGCTGGTAAAGCGTTCTAGAGACGGCAAACACGAAGCGAGAAGAAATGTGATCGCACTCGAGTCTTTGGTCCCTGATGTGCTATCCTTAGCGGGTTACCTCGTGGAAGCCTATAGTCACTTAATGGCAGGATGCTTTTATTTAGGTGGGCCTGGCCATTTAGGATCTGGTAGACGGAGATGAGATCTCCCCTGTGCCTTCGGTAACTAGGTGTGAAAAGACCTAATTTCTTTAGTCGTTCCTCATATGATTTGTTGCGGAGGCCGATCACCCGTTTTGTCGCTCGTCACTGGTCACTTTCTAGAATGTTAGCATCCGTTTTGAGTAGCGGAGGTGCAATGATATTATGCACCTCAAGGTGTGGGCTTACATATGCTGTCAGCCACGTCTCATAAACAAGTTAATGCTCAGCTCTTGCTGCGCTCGGGCTCACGCTGTCGCTTGAAGTTTCTCAGAAACGCTTAGTAATAACGGACGAAAAACCAAAACACCAATTGATGACTCGAGGATTCTTTATTGTAACACCAACATATAAAAAATATTTCTACTAAGGTCTGTGAACAAATATTACAATAATAAATCACAACATTACTTCTGACGGTTCATTGCTGACTTCTTTCTGAACAGCGACCGATGAGACGATGACTGTCGTATTGATGCCTCCGCGAATATTGGGGAAGTTGGTTTTGAGCAAACAACCATGAATTGATCGTTCAGTCTTCACCTGCACTGACATATGCCTTATATAACCTCAAGAACAGTTCGGGAGTGAGAACTCCCAGCTGCCTATGCATAAAGTGTAAAGTTGCGTAGGCTTTGGCGACGTCCCTCGAGTAATTTCCACTGGTGTCCAGCTTTTCTGTTAGAATAAGACCTAGATCTCGCTCTGATGGAACACAACTCAAATTCTGGCCACCAAGGGTGTAATTTACACTCTGTGACCTGCCGGAATGAACTTGCACTACTTTTTGCACTTCTTTAGGTTGAAAGGCATTCCGTTAGCCAGAGCCCAGTTTCCCAGAGTTTGCAGGTCAGCCTGCAATCTGTCTGAGTCTTCTGATGAGTTTATTGCTCTCCAAATCTTTACGTCGTCTGCGTAAAGAAGCGCAGAGCAGTTTAGCTGGGGGGGGGGTAGGTCGTTGATAAAAATCAAAAACATCAACGGTCCTAGGATAGAACCCTGAGGAACCCCTGATGCCGAGGTGTGCCAGGATGATCGGATGCGGTTGACTTTGGTGCAGAATTCTCTCTCGCCTAAGTAATCTTTCAGCCATGCGAGAAGTGCTCCAGAAACACCCGCCTTGTTTATTTTGTGAAGGAGCAGACCATGGTGAACTGTGTCGAATGCTTTCGCAAAGTCGAGAAA